ACAATTGATTAGGACCACTTTGTATAGACATGTCTAGCTAGCCTAGCCCGCCCATTACCTTCACCCGGAACGCGACTGCCACCACCGCGACGCGCTTCATTCAACCCTAACACTTACCCAAAAACATATTCGACATGGCTACACGTACCAAAGCACCCACAATCGGGTCCGCCGGATGGATCCTCGAAGAGCGCAATCAGTCAAACACGCTTGTCGCGCAGGAGCTCGAGGATTTCGGCTTCTCTGTGCGCAATGAGCTTGAATGGCTTAACGAGCACATGTTCGACATACTCGCCAGCGACAGGCAGTACGTCGCGTCCCCCGTGCGAGTGTGTGCCCCATACTGACCTACTACTAGACCTAACCTTGATGTCTTTAAGACGCCTGGCAAGCTGCGCGGCAAGACGCCCCGTACAGCGCGCAAGAAGGTGGCCGATCGACAGGCATGTTCCTTCCCTGTGCGTTTTGGTCTCGTATACTGACAGCAGACAGCCGCTCGCCAGTATCCAGTCCGCAAACCTACAGCAAATCCTGAGCCCAGCAGAACAGAGCCTGAGAAATGTAAAGGCTAGATTCCAGATTGCCGAGGACGCGGCCAAAACAGTTCGACACTCGCCCGCGGCCCGCACGCCAATCGCACGACAGCTCTTCTCCAAGCCGGAAAGCGCTGGCAAGGAAAATGTAGACAGCAACCATCATGCTGCGCTCTTTGAAAAGCAACAAGCACATGCTATCGCAGCACTCCGGAGCCCTATCCAGTCCACCCAAGATACAGTCGAGTCTTCGCAGGCCAGCGACGTCTTCTCACCTATGCAGTCACAAGAGACCCAACCCACACAGCCCACTAATTCCTTCAGGCACTCGATAGAAGCAAAACAAACAAGACGCGACACAGGCGATTCCTTTGTCTCTGCAAATGAAGGCTTCTCTAGCAAGGATGCGTCCAAGGAGGACTCGCATGCAAACGATATTAGTGTCATGGATGTTGACGGCGAGCACTCGCGCTCCGATGCCCAGGATACTATGCTGCATCACGACATTTCCGATGCAGAGGACGCCGACATGGAAGAAATGCACGAATCTCCCGACCCACCACGTGCTGTTTCCGAGCCATACAGCATCTCTGCTGAAACCCATGACGCGCTCGACGCGCTCGACACGGCCAACAACCGCGCACTCATGCCAGAACCCAAGTACCTCGCACCAGAGCAATCCACAACACCTGCCGGCCCTCCACCCGCCCTTCTGGAAGCCAACGTTCACGATGACACTGTTCTTCACCATGGTATTGACGATCAAATGGAAGTTGATGATGAGGATGATGTGCGCTCCCCTTCAGACAACTCCAGCCCCGTAAAGCCGCTTGTTAGGAAGAGCAGCCTTACGTTTTCATCTCTTCCTGCACGTGAGCCGTTGCTCCCCAAGAAGAGTATGGGCAACCGCGTGTCGCGCACAAGCCATATTGATCAAAACAAAGCTCGCAACAGCCATATGGCAAGATTTACTGGAGGCAAGAGTCTGGGAGGATCGCAAATTGCTTACCCTGCTGAGATGCATCACGAACACAATGACGAGGATATGGACGTTGACACAGAGCGCCCAGAAGTTCCCAAAGAAGAATCCGAGTCTACCAAGGCTCACAACAAGACTTCCACTCAGCGTTTGTTCGAGCGCATCAACATGCTCAAGCAACAGAATGAAGCCCCTACGCGGATCAGCCAGAACATCACTTCACAGTCTTCACAACCACAAGGATTTTCGACGCAACCAGAGGAGGTTGCATCCACACAACCTTCCCAACTATCATACCCAACTCTCCCACCACCAGAACCTACACAGGAAGAAGAAGATGACGATGACTGGATATCACCAGTCCGGACAACAGCACCTGCGCCTAAATCACTCAGACCTGCCTTTGGCAAAAACCACACTACCGAAGCCCGCCCCTCTCCCCTCAGGCCTGTACCTGCAAGCCTTATTTCAGCCTCAAATCCAGATCTTACTGCGGATGCTGAATCAACCACCCCTATTGGCTCTCCAACTAACAGGCGATACATGGACGCACCTCTGAGTGCCTCAAAGTCAAAGCTATACTCAGCGTTCCGGGCAGCAAAGGATAAGCTAATTGGATCAACTGCCACAAGCGCCCAGGCGAAGATGGACACACTCAAGGAGAGCCCGGCAAGACCCAAGTTGCCCTCGCATGATTCATCAGACGATGCATTCAGTAGTCCCAGGCGCGTCGAGAGGCCAATTTCCATTTTCGATCACATGCGCTCGCCCTCCAAGGACTCTGACAATTCTAGTAAAAGTGGCAGCAGTCCCTCCAAGGGTGATGGCCGACGCACTCGCAGCTCCACTGAGCGGGAGAAGCAGAAGGAGAAGGAGACAAGAGAGAAGGAGGTTCGAGAGGCCAAACAGCAGCAACGCACAGAGGACAAGCTCAAGCAGATGCGCGAGAAGGAGCAGAGCAAGGCAGCCGCACATGCTCAGAAAGCCAGGGCTATGGGTGCAAAGACACCAACCGCCATGTCGTCTCAATCAAGTCTCAGGTTGCCAACAGCCACGGCTAATATCAAGACTCCATCACAAGCGACTCAATCTGCCCAACCAGCCACACAACAACCGATACTTCGACCTGGCATCCCCCGATCCAACACAGCGACTTCAAAAGAAGACGTCGACTCGGCGGAAGATATGCCACCACCACCGCCACCAAAGAGCTTGCTACCGACTACCAAGCCGGCCAAGGCACCTCTCCGAGAGCCCAGGAAACTGGCGAAACCCACAAGCAAGGACGCTATTCCCAAGGCGAAGGCGCCACAGAAAATTATGGTCAACCTCAAGAGCAGTCACTACGGCCAAGCACCTCCACCAGCTCCACGTCCAGCTACGGCAGCTGCCAGGCCTATATCTGCAGCACCACAAGCTGCTGGTAAGTCCACAGCTACAGGAAGGCAAACACCAGCCGGAACAACACGACCGGCTTCAGCTCTGTCTACCAAGTCTGGACCTTCGTCCAAAACTGTACAGCCTCTCGCTAAAGCGCCAGCTCCTCGAGCAGCCCGACCTCAGCCGCAGACTGTTGAGAAGCCCAAGGCTCCAGCATCACAACCTCCACGATCAGACCTTGGCGCTGCACGACCTGTATCACGGATGCAGACGGTGCAAGATGCCAATCGCATCAACATTCCCCCGGTTAACCCAGCTAAGCCGCCCCCTAAGCGACAGTTCCCCGGTGAAGGCGATGAAACTCTACACCGTCCAGCCAAACGTCCTTCACAACAAGCAAAGAACTTGAACCCGATTACACCAGCTCACGCGCAGTTTGCCAAGGGTAAGATTCCTTTTGCAGAACCCGCCCACCAATCACAGTCTCAACCGCCGCAAATACAATATCCCAACGGGGAAGACATCAAGCTTCCTGAGATCATGACAGACTCTGAAGACGAAGACTCTGACAACGAATTCGAGCCGCCAAGCTGGGTCAACACGCCTAATCTACGTGAGATGCTCAGCAACCAGCAGCTCATGGACCCTGAGCATATTTTTGGACCGATTGCGCCGCTGGAGATGGAGAAGGTGTTCCCCAACAAGGAGCGCCACAAGCGGTTCCGCGAGCGGACGAGCAGTGCGTACTGGGCCAATGACGAGGTGACTGCCGAGGAGAAGCGCAAGGAACGCGAGGCGAGAGAGCGGCTTGTACGGGATGGCGGGTGGACGTATAACCCATCGCCACTTCCCAAGCAATCTGGACCTTCTCGGTAAAAAGAGAGAGATGAGGCTTTTTTATGAAAGAAGACAAAAGGTTCTGCGTGTGGAGGGGATTCATGATGAATGGTGGTCCCTCTATCTCTCTCTCTCTCTCTCTGCCTTTGATTATTTTTGAAGCAGGTTGTTGCGTTCTGTCTTGTTTTTATTACATCAGCATGGCTTCCCCTTTTTCGATTTGAAGCGTTTATGGGAGAATTGACAGGATTGCATGTTTATTTGCATATGGCCATGAAACGGGGGGGAGAAGGGATCCGTTATGCATGAAGAAGTATCCTACTCGCGGCGTTTGTTTGTTTGTTTGTTTTTTCCTGTGGGAAAGCGGAACTCTTCTTTTACTTTTACTTTCTTCTTTTCTGATGGAAACGAGTACGGCTTATTCCCTGTTTCCATCTACACCCCCCCCCTTCTTTTTTTTAAAACTCTTTCTTGATCGAGTAGTATATCACGGAATGAAACGAACATTGTGTTTTTTTTGTCGTTTATTACTTGGTTTCTCGTTCTTCCCTTTTCTTTTCGCTTTGGCGCAGTGGATGTGTGTATATAATGTGGACGAGAGGGTGAAAGTGAATAATGGTTTAGATATGGTGTTTAGTAGTCGAGTATATAACTACAGGATTTTATGCAATATGGCACATTGGGGATATGTATGGGATCACAAAGATATCTAGGAAGTAATGCATGAATTCATTGACGTATAAGGTGTAGTTTTGACAAAGGGTGGAGTGAGTTTTACTTTGTTATGAACCTAGATGGACCCTTCATGTTGGTATTGGTGTTTTTAAAAGGTATGAAATGAGAATATTTTTCTTCCACTATGATGATTTGAATGAGGTAAAATAGTCATTCTCACGGGCGAATAGTATTTACAAGTCAAAAGTGTCATGTTGTTTCGTGAACATGGACAAAGAAGTCATGAGTGTTCAGTGAAACTATGCATTAGCTATAGAAAGTCATGTGTAACTACGGTCGCTAAGGAAGATCATAATATTGTAAAACACGCCCGCTGGTAAACAAAGTCATGTGTGTACTGGTATCCATAAAGCCCGTCCAATTCGCAAAAACCCTCGCCACAACCAACATCAGCATCCAGTGCGATGTTGTATCCATCATCGTGTTTCTATCATACAAGAGTCGGAGTGCAACTCAGCGACTGTGGTCAAAGTTCAGACGCTGGTGGTGTCTGATCGCGTGTTCCAAGAGGCGTCTGAGGACATTCTGCAGGCATTCTAGACCTGGCTCATGGCGGGACCACGGCGGGTGCTACGGAGGTTGGCACCGCTGCCACGGCCATTCATGAGGTTGAAGGCGAGGGTGGCGACAAAGGCGGCCCATCCGAACCAGAGGAAGGCGGTGGTGGCCTGGGCTTGACGGCAGTTTTGCTCAGTGTTTGGCGAGCTGTTGAGGACGCTGTTGGAGTGTGTGTATGCCTGAGCAGTGTTAGATTGAGCTCGCGAGTGAAATAGCTACAAAAATACTTACCGAGTTGGAGCAGCTGTGGGCACCAATGTACGAGGGAAGTGCGACGGCAGCGCAGAAGCCAAAGATGACACTGAGGGCATCGAGAGCAATGTCGACAACGGGAATACTGAACCTTTCGATGAAGGACGTGGGCAGGAAGTAGAGGAGGGTGAGCAGCCACCAGACGCCGACGAAGAGCGAGTAGTTGATGATTGAGTGGGTTCCGGCCGTGGCACGCGCAATGTTGTTACCCATCAATGCGGTGACAATGACGGCGCAGATCAACTAGATGGTATCAGCAAGGCTGTCTTTTCGTACGGTAGCGATGATACTGTGTGTACATACCTGCCAGGCGCGGAGGCCCATGGACAATGCCCTTGACACCATTTTTGCTGATATATGTGTGTATGTATGTAAGTATTGGTAAAAAGGACGGATGTGGGGGAGATGCAGGATGCAGCTGGGATGGGGAGAGTAGGCTGAGCGAGGATTGGGTTGAGAGACGATGTTTTTCTTGCAGTGGACGGTGGTGGGCTGAGGAAATATGTATCGCAGTCAGCGGGAGGCAGCGGCCCTGCAGCGTCATCGCAGACCCCTACGTCACCCCAGGGTCCTTCCGACGCAGCCCTTTCCGGAAACATCGGTACTTACACAGTAGGCCCTCGCTAACTCCGTCGATCACAAAACGATGCTGCTGCAGGGCTGCAAAAAAGGCGTCTGGGTGTCGAGGCGGTTTGGATCGAGTGTGAAGTGGATTCTCAGAATTAACCCCAAAAGGCGGGCTTGTGGCCTACATGTATCTTTTATCAGGCGTTGGGCGGGTGTTGTCAGCGTTGCTGCGCAACAGAAGTGGTGAGGATGCAGGTATAGCCAGGGATGCTCGACTTGCGCCATCAGCCACTGGATGACTGCACCGCCGCCCGACCTGTTCCCTCCGAGGGAGAGCTACTGCACTCTCCGACGTAAACTTCTTCATCTATGACATGTGCTTTTGTCCAGACCCTCGACCGCCGCAAATCCATCCCTCCTCTTGTCGTAGTTCATGTCCAGTATTCCCCGGATCGACATGATCGTCATCCTTACGCACACCTGCGCTGTCTCTGCACCTCGCCCATCCAAACGCTTTTGAAATGTCTACTACCCACTTGACCTGTGTATTTGATAAGAACAAAAAAAGACGTATGCCTAGTCGATTACACTTTCGTTGACTGCCGATATTTCCGCTGTGGACATGTCAGATCCTGGCGCATTGTTTCATAGCCCCGCCCGATTAGCCCGGTCAGGCCTATCACAGAGCCTGGCGCTTGTTATCATGACCTCCACCATTCGCATGCTGTAAACACACCCAATGATTCTCTCCTCCTATACCACTTCCTCAAACATCACGCACATTTCAAAACCCCGCAACAAAAACCGTCTCATTTACCCAGCTATGTACAACCCGTATCTGTATTGCAAAGACAAAAATCTTGGTCTAGGCGACTTTTGAAGGCTGCTTGTCCACACACCCGTCGCCCCTCTACAGTGCGAGGGTGGCGTCGACTGTTCAATCTTCGACATGTCTGGACAAAGAGCGATAAAATACTCCTGTCCACACTCCCTTGTGCCACTGAACAGGCTTCAAACGAGTGCAATCCTGTCGGGCCATGTTTCCAATACCATTCAAAGTGTATCATAACCTACTTGTTTGTCCATGGCTTCTTCATACCCCTCAGGTACTGTGGGGCCTTTGTCCGGTCCCCAAAGACGACGGAATTAATGTCCCATTGTTGCATTGACCAAGATACATCATCTTATTGCCTTGCCTTCTATTGCCCGGCTTGGGCCTGGTATTGCTTCATACTCGATCCCGTCCAAGTCCGATTGTTGTAGAATCAAAAGGCAATACTGTCGTCTACTCGCTTTTGTCGGTGTGGCCTGTGCAAGGGCGTTGTCACTCGACATTGTCTACATTGTGTAAATTTCTTTGTTATCCACGTTTTGGTTTCCGGCTGGACAGTGTGCTATCCCCCAGATTTCTGCATCGTCCATCGTCGGTTTCGAGGCAAATTGAGGGCACTGTCCGACACCGCCCTGGTATGTGGAGGCAAGCTTGATGTCAGTCTATCATCTGCACATACTGGAAGCTCGGCAGCGCGTAGGCAAACACGTGTAAATGTTTTCATACAGTCGCTGCTCGTGCCATTGAGCTTGTATACTGATGAGTCGGGGAATGAGATCATCCCACCCACACGGGTGAGCTGCTATCCGCGTATACAGGAGAAACTCTGACGGTTGACTCGATCGTGAGGGTGGCCAGGAGGGTTGAGATTGTTGTTAGTTTAGACAGAGGCGGATCTAACAAGCGCTGTCATGCAATTAGTTGATACAAGCTTTCTCTTACCGTGCAATCTTGGACCATGGTAGGGCAATGGACAGAGTCAATGTAGTTCAAGTCAGAATATCCGTGCACAGACAATCAAAGGGCCTGGAGCCGCTGAGTAAAGTTGGTGCAGGAACAGTAGAGAACCTAGTAGTTCCAATGCAGACTCAGGAGGAACGTGTGACTTGCCAAGACATTCAAAGAGCATCGGTCTTGCCTGTCAAACTCGTAGTAACTGTTTACCCACATGCATTTCAATGCTCGCAGTGCCCGCTTGGTGGTTTTGGTGGCTTCGATAACTTCGAAGATCTCCCGCTTTACCTGCCTAGCAACCGACCAAAGCGCTTGCCACAACGAACGGAGAACCCTCCATCACCCACACTTCCAACTCCTACCCGCTCCAATCCTACAATGACAGAAAAAGGTAGAGGTCATCACATGTCCCTACCCATCTTACATCCTCGAGTTCGTGGCAATCACCAGGAGGTTTTGGCACACCCTACGGTGATCCAGTCCCGGTGATGATACCTCGAGCCCCGACTGCAAACCTGCCCCGCCTCCAAGACTACACCCACAACACAACCACCAGGACTTTTTCTAAAAGTCAAGGCCCTTCTTGCTCTTGGATGAAGCTGACGATCCTTGCTCTTTCTCTTATCCCCTGAGATGAATTTTGCTGACCTCGACCGATTGCAATCTCCACGGGCAGCTAACAGACTTCTCAGAGCCACTCATACAGCGTACAGCTACACGATTGAGCAGTCTACACAAAGACGGACTCACCTTAAAAAAAGATAAGTCTAAGCATCCCTCCGACGTGCTCTCCTGGCACTGCTCACTGTAGGGACGGGGCATCAAACCGGCAATTGCCGCCTTGCAGATAATCGTCAGTATACGGAAAACACACAAACCCGTTTGGTACTGCCAAGGATACCGTCGTGGAAGATACTATCTTGAACACAAGAGACTACTTTGCTTAGGGATAGCGACACCGGAGATCCGGAAATCCTCGACAAGGGATACAAGAGGTAGCATGTGATACCCGCCTGCAGCCCCCTCTGCAACAATGCCATTGTTGAAAGGGCAAAAGGCGACCATCTTTGTCGTAGTGGATCGACGGTTGTCGGGCCACCATGGCTCGTCGACAGTCTCGAACATGGCCCGATGCGGTCACAGACAGGGTTTGTGTCAAGTCTCAGCCCGCGACAGACTAACGGTCAACGTGTCCAAAAAGAAAACGGCAGTACAGAATGGCTCAAGGCTTGACAGGAACGGCAATTGGAAGCATTCTTTGCATCAGTCACATGCACTCCACGCGTGGCAAAGGTACCGAACGCCCAGCGAACGCGTCTCGGGTAGACACATCGAGACCCATGGCCTTGGAAGCCGAAAAGGCTGGACTGATCCGGATCGGATATAAGCCAGCAACAGGTATACATCGCCGTCTGACTGTCATCGGGAGGGATGTTACAAATCGGGCCGGAAGCCTGACCGGCGTATAGAGGAGGGCGCCCAAATATCAGAACCAAACTACTTGCTCCCGAGGAGTTTGCAGACTCCGCACGAGACGTTCATTACGCGCGGTTACGTACTTGACGGCATCAGTCACAAGCTTTGGAACAAACTTCTGCGTCACAACCAACGATGATCGAGGCATGTCTTCTGACTTGGCCCAAGAGAGGGGCTCTGGTGGGATCACGGCGATTTGAAGAGCGGGCGCATCGTTGACTGGGGTAGCTCATGGAGCTTGGCTGTTCTTGAAAACGCCAATGCCATGCAGCAAAATGCGGGGTTGGCATCAGCCAACATGCAACGCCGACAAAAGGGAACCTGTCCGACGGGCGTCGTACTATTATTGCATGTGCCCGGCAACAGCCAACACCGCGGGCATTGGAGCAGCCTGTCGGTTTTGCAGATGCTCGCCCAGGCGGCCAACTGTCGAGCAGCGTTGGGAGCATCGTTCGCGACTAGTTCCAGGAACGCTCGCCGTGCAGCCGTCGACTGTGATACGTACATCAAACACGAGGGCGAATAGGAGGGCGTCAAGGAGCTGCACAGAAGCGCCCACAGGATCATCGCATCGAGCGGGGCATGCCGCGGATGCGTCAAGCAGCTAAAGAGCTTGGTTGTCGAGATTGTTGTCGAAGGCGTAGGGGCGCGTGACTCAGTTGAAGTCTAGGGCTGAAAGCGACGGTAGTGCTACCCAAGGTCTCGCCATCGGCGATAGTGTCGTGGGTGAGGCATGGCGCTTGCAGCGAAGCAGAATGGCGTGCGACAGGCATGGAGCCTCTGCGTTGAGAAATGGCATCAGGATGGATGTGTTCCGACGGGCCCGACCGAGTCCAGACGGATCAAATGAGGGGCTTGTCGACGTGACCCCTGGAGGCGCATAGTGGATCAGCAGCTCTAGGGCGACGATGGAGGAGGCTCGCTGGCCTGACGCGAGGCGATGCAGGCGTCTTGTCGAAGGGTTGATGCTGAACAAGAGGGGTTGACAGGACAGATGATTTGATCCATCGGGCCCTGTCCGGTGGGCGTCGCTACCCCCCAACAGCACAGCAGCAATTTGCACCCGTTCGCCTGAAGCACGCACGGCTAGCCCTAGTTGGCCTGGCCGTCTCCGCATTTTCCTGCGCAACGACCCTACAGAAGCCCCTGACCCTTGGCCGGGCGTGTGAGCTGCAGAAGCCTCAAAGGCGTTGCATGTCTGCGTGTCTCTACGCTTCCGCTGATTTCCCCGTAATGACGGTCTTGCCTCCACCTGTTGTCCATCGTGTCCAACTGGCAGCTGTCCTCGCATCCTTCTACTGACATCGCAGCAAGCTTGTCGCGCCTGTGCTGACCGTGTGTGGCTCCCCCCCCTGATCTGACAAGGCGCGCGCGGAACGGCAGGGTGTGTGTCTTCTCCCCAACGTTTCGAACAATCGCCAAGACGAGACGCTGTTGCCATCACTTCTGGCCTCTTGTCCAAAGCCGTCCGCCTTCTTCGATAACATAACCTCTTTCTCAGTCGTCCGGGACACGGGGCGACATGTGCCTGCTCTAGTAGTCGCACATCCCTCCTACTCTACAGACTGCGGTCCTGGAAATTGCGGGATAGCCTGGGTTTAGCAGCGTGGCGCTTCCCCACCTAAGGACCCGAAGCCCTCTCGCCGATCCTAGGCACGTATGATCTCATGCAACAACTGATGCCATAGCGTATCGTGTTCGTGTTCGACATCTTCAACAAGAAAGACTAGGGATAGACTGGTTCAAGAATTTGGCGCTTGGTTTGCGTACGTTTTGAGGTATGTTGTTACCACTCGCTCCCTGGGCCCCGACGGGCTGCCGCAAGACGTTCTTGATGGAAAGCTGACATCTGGTTATAGTTAACTTCCAGATCGGTTTGTTTTATTAGAGTTGTTGTGGGATAGAGCTTGCCCGGTATGTCTTCTTTGTGCCGTAGCAGTAGCCGCAACACCCACTGTCCTGAGCATGCTGTGGCCATGTCTAATGACCTGGCCTGGCCAGACTCAGCAGCTGCTCTGCATGCGCTCCGCCGTCTTATATGCGTATGGAACCTCACGTTGCTGATGTTTCCAAACAGGATATACCGCTCTTTCTTCTGATAGATCTGCTTTGGGCATCGAGCTCGGCACCGCGTAATTTTCCTAGACAATCCTGTTAACTAGGTAAGCAAACTCCATCTCGTTTTACCTCCCTCCGTCTTTCTTCAATCATTCCGTCAGTCATTTCTTCTTTCTAGTCTCAGTGTGCATTCTTTTTTTGTGGTGCGGTTGCGGTGCGGGGAGGGTGGGAGCAAGGCCTTGCGGTGTTGGCGGAGATGGGGCAGCGGATGAGAAGTCAACAAGACCTCTATCAGCCGCTGTGCACATGTTCGCATGCATCACAGGTCGTTTTCTATCTCGAAAGAGATCTTGGGATGCTCGCCTGGAAGATGAGAAGGTGTTTGTATCAGTGTCTTGATGACGCTCAAGGTGTCGTGGCCAAGTTTCCTTTGAGGATCGTCACCATGGACAGCAGCACACTCTTGTTGTTAGGAGGCGAATCAATCAGAGCAACGCAACCATTTACTCATCTTTATCTTCTTGTCTCCTATCACTGTTTATGCTTTTGGGCACCCTGAGCACTACTAAGACCATCATTGATAACAGTAATCTCTAAAGCCATTATTGCAAGAGGCTCCTGCAACGAGCATCTCCATCGGTCTTTCCCTACAAACGTCTCTAGGCGACGGTCGAGCCACCTGAGCACAATAAGATAGCGCTGGCCCACGGACCCCCCTGCCTTTTCCTCCTTCGTACTCACCTTCTATCCACTCTCCTACCCCACCTCTCTTACCGTTGACCTTACCTCTACTCCTTCGATCCATCCTCTACCAATCCTCTTCTTGTTTCTGCGGTGTACCCCACTTGCACCATCATCCCCTTCTACCACGCTTCCGCGCCAATCAGCTCTTGTAGAGCAGCGGCGAGGCAGCATCAAGCTACCCCGCTAGACTCCATTGCAACAGACATAGTTGTTGCCTGCCACGCCAGGTAAGTCGGCATCACATCTATACTCCCGATCTGTCTCACGAGCTGTTCCTCTTCCTCCTGCTGCTGCTGCTGCTGCTGCTGTTGCTGGATGCCGTAGTTATCGCCCCTTTCTGATAGCGGGTCACGCTGACATACACTCATAGACTATTAAGAAGCTTTGACAGCTTCTGCTTCAAGAATTTGCACCTTTGCTAGTGTCAAGAACCCTACTGGCTGCTGTACACTTGGCGTGGTCGTCCAACTTGTCCATCATATACACCTAGAACTTACATTTTTGACATCAACGATCCAGGTATGTGCCGCATGCCATGTCTATCAACTCCTGGCTTCATCTATCTCAACTTTGTTACTCTAGCGTTGCCGCTTTGTCCTTTGAATACTTATACTGACAGCCAAGGCACTTGCCTTCACAGACAACTACGGTCTTCTAGACACATCCACTACCCTAGACGGCACATTCTCTTACACATCCTGCCACAAGGTACACCACTTATACGGTTTACTCAGTGCATTTTCCTTGAAAGAGATTGTGCAACTAGACAGCCACCTAGTCCCCATTCATTCATCCCCTAGATCTCAAGGTACGTCCATGTCAGTCATATAAGCTTTCGACGGTAGCTAACCTATCCAAGACAAAGACGAATCAACATGAGTTCCAACACATATAAAGGCGGCTTGGCCGTTGGTGGTTCCGCCCTCGACAAGTCCAAGTTACAGCTGCGCCGTCCAACGCCGGACAGTGATGTCTTGGCATCTAGTGATGATGACCGTGAGCACGTGGCTCCTGTCGTTCGCCAGGCCCCTGGCGCGTACCCTGCAGTACGACGCCCCTCTTCTGGTTGGCTCCATGACATCCAGCCGAACCGCAAATACTCGTTGCCATCAGTGTCATTTGCAGGGTCGCTACCGACGACGCCATCGCTCGAGTTGCCGCAGCAGACGCGTCCCAGCACTTCGGCATTCCCTTGGAATACGCCTAGCTTCACCTCGAGTTCAAACAGTCGCCTGAAGGAGGTTGCCCCCTCGCCTACCTCTGCGTATCCGCCTGGTGAGAAGCCTCTTGCTTCTCCCACCACCACGCACGAGGCCGACGACGGCATTGGTTTTCTCCTTAACCAGCAGGCTCCAAACCCATTCCGCAAGGCTGTCCGATCGCAATCCTATAGCATAGGTCAAGGCGATATCGAGCATCACCCTGTAAGCCGCTTCTCACGTCAACCCCCTAGTTCTAGCCTCCGTCACCGGCCTTCTAAGCCAAGCCTCCTTGGTGAGTCAGCCGTCGGTCTTTCGCAGCTGCGCGAAGACGACGTTGACGATATCGAGTCATCCAACGGTTCAGAGCACGGTGTGCGTTTACCTGCCGGATACTGGGAGCGAGAGCAGAAGCAAGCTTTGCTGAAGCAAGCCGCCATGGAGAATGCACGCGCTCGCAACCGAGCCACCTCCACTGGCTCGCCAGTCCTTCAACTGCAGCAGCAACGCCGTAAGACTACTGCTGGCTTACGTAACAGCGGGTACAACAACGCAGCCGAGTATGCTATCGAGGAGCTCGAAGACGTCGACCCGGTACTGAACGTCCCTGCTCCCGGACTCACTCGTCGTTTCAGCGAGCATGTCTCAGTCCTCAAGCGAGACCACGAGGTTGAGATTGTCGATAGTCCGCAGAAGCCGCAGTGGGCGACCGGCAACATCTCCCCAGGTGAGGCTGACCCCCTTGGTCGTCGCCACTCGTTTGCGCACTATGGAAGCTACAACTCAACGATGCCACTTTCGACTTTGAGCAACACACAGGAGGAAGAGGAGGAGTACATGTCCCCCCGACAGACTTCTCCTAACGAAGACAACGAGCCGTTTGATGCTGCAGCCTACTTCACTGGCTACGGCCCTGCATCTCGTGCCATCAATTCCTCGGCTATCTCGGCAGCTCATCCAGATCCGATTGTGCCCAACACCGCAATGTCTGCTGGCAATCCGTACGCTGTGCCCAACATCCTTGGACGTTCTAATCGTCGCCTGTACGTCGTCACATTCAAGTGTTCTCGTGCCGATATCTACTACGTATACGACAACACCGGGCTTGAGGTTCGCCGTGGTGATCTGGTCATTGTCGAGGGCGACCGTGGCTGCGATCTTGGCCAAGTCACTCATGCTGACGTGACTATGGAGGAGGCTAAGAAGCTGAAGGCCGAGGCGAACGATGAGCACTTCCGCTGGCTTGTCATGTTCTCTCAGTATTCTCTAGCCGGCACCCAGAACGATTCGGGAATGCTTGGTGCCCTTGCGCGTGCTAATGGATTTCCGAACCCCATGAGCCGCACTGGACTGGCAGGTCAGGGAGAGCCAGAGGTCATTAAGCCAAAGCTTATCAAGCGTCTGGCTCAACAGCATGAGATCATGGGTTTGCGTGAGAAGGAAGGTGGCGAGGCCAAGGCCAAGCGCCTCGGAGCACAGAAGGCCGCTGACCACAAGTTGCCTATGGAGATCTTGGACGCTGAGTACCAAGCGTAAGTGTTAACGTGCTCATGTTGGCTTCGCCTACTAATACATCTCAGTGATTACCACAAGCTCACCTACTTCTACTACGCTGAGTCGTACGTCAACTTCAACGAGCTTGTCACAGACTTGTTCAAGCAGTATAAGGTCCGTATCTGGATGTCAGCTGTCAACCCGGCATCTGTCGTCAACCCGGCAGGCATGTCTCAGATACCGCCACCCTCCGCCATTGGCCCTGGAGCGATCATCACTTCCAACACTAATCCCCCGCTCTCTGTTGGTCCTGGATTCGGCTCCAACAACAATCGTCCTGCCCAGCAGTATAGTAAGTCTATCGCTTCTTCCATTAACCTGTCAACTTGTTAATTGTGACTAGGTCAAGCCCGTAACCATGGCTCATATGGTAACTACGATGAGGGCTTCCACGCTTTCTCGCATCAGATCCCTGCCTATCCCACACAGGCTCAGTACAACATGCAACCATGGGCTCATGGCCAGCAGATGGCGCCTCACAGTCAACAGATGGCGCCTCATGGTCAGCAGATGGCGCCCCACATGTACCGAAACTACTATCCCAACGTTAGTGCGAGTGGCAGCCAGATGGCCTATGGAGCTGCTGGCTACTATCCGCCGACAACTTACCCTTCGTCTTACGGTGGAAACTACGTTCCAACCACAACTACGGCCGGATATGCTACCTCGCGCAACTACACGTCAAATGCTGGCCAGTCGTTCGTTCCCCATGTGCCTACAACCTATGGTGGCAATGTTCCTTACACTTCGGGAAGCAGCCAGTCCAACACTGGTGGTTACTATGGTACATCTGGACCACAAGTCAACGGTACCTCTGGCGCTTATGCGGGTAGTAGTGCGCACACGACCACCACTGCAGCTCACCAGAACAACAACTACGACCCTGGTTTGATGAATGCCATGCAGCACATGTCTCTCGGCAACTAGGTCCGCTCGCAGATGTAGCAACCCCAAGGCCTCTCCAAGGTTCAAGCTAATCTATCAACTCTGATCTTGTAGCTGTCTCTACGATATGCTACATTTCTTCTCCTGATTGATCGAATGTGCGACAAGATCAATTTCGACCACAGTTTGAGGGATTCTTCCAGACTGTGCTTTCTTTTAGTACCATGCTTTAGGGATCATTTAGGCGCATACGGCTGCTTCATGATGGATTTTACATCGGTTCATACTGTTCACTGCCCCAGAAATGATGGCAACGGCCTTACCAACTATCGGAAAACATAGCAATCATGTTTGCGACTTTCCTCTTCTTGTTTTCTTGTTTTCTTCTTTTCTTCTGCGTACCATTCAACTTTCCTTCCAAAATTTCCCTTAATGTCCCTTCTTTCCCCTACTGACGGCCCTTTACAAGTTATATCCTCTATGGAAAACTGGCTAGTCAGACATTATCCCATGCATGTCTTTGTAAACAAATGCCAATAGGGCGAAAATAAAAAAGCTTTCTGCACCAATTGCATGCTCCAAATTCGTTTTGTGACCAGTTGTGCTCTAATACCCAGGGCTGTCGAGATTCATGTCTTTCAGCGGACAAACCGTATGTAGACGTTGCATAAAGAGACTACAAAGTGTGCCGCCAGCAAAGAAATGTGATATGCAGATACTCACCCAGTTCCGGCATTTCGTGTGTCGAATACAATTACGTACACTCTTGCATATGACTAGTAAATTGTGTTGAGTTGCACCTTTCCTCCAATCTATTGTCTCACCTACTCTCCCCACCTCACTGTGACAGCTGTACACTGATTCACGACCTCAAAAATGGTGCGTCAACAACGTACTCAACCATTTGCTAAGAATGCTGGCAGTCCACAGACCTCGGGAAAGATGATGGGTTTAATAAGAATGGAGGCCAGTTGGTATTTGACCTATCTTTATCAACACCCAGCAGCTAACAGTAATCAAAGCCAGATGCTTGCTCTTGAAAGTCTCCTCAAAAGGCCACAACATGACAAAAAGGGATTTGATGAGCTGCTTGCAACGACAGCGACCGACCGGAACGAGTGCAAGGAAGGAATCGTACAGCTGAACAAACAGATCTAAGGACCAACCACAAGACGATGTAAAGAAGCTGACCGACTAAAGAGAAAGGCTGATGGTGGCTACAGTGAAATGGAGCAGAAACGCCACGACGACGAGTTGACTTCCACGATACTCGAGAGTCTCAGAACCCCAAATCGTCGCACACAACACGATACGCCGACTTTTGCAGGTACGAACATTGCAAGCAACGCCGTGTACGCATGCATCACCGACGTCCTTAGTGCTTTTCAGAGTTTGGTCAATGAATACAAGAGATTGGATGGCATGATCTGGAAGCTCTAAGAAGACAAAATGCATCCTATTGTGGATACATGGAAACGAGATATTGAAGAGACAGAAAATCAGCTCAAATTGGGAGCAAGAGTTGCACTTAAGAACGTGAGAGAGGTTTTGGGAGCTAAGGTAGCAGGCGGTGATGCGAAAGGACTAGCTGATGAAGATGGAGACATGGACATGAATGTAGGTGGAAAGGCGCAGCTGACTTGTGAGTTACTGGAGAGCCTGAGGTATGCAGAAAGGGGAGTCAAGCGCATGACCAAAGGGCTCCCCATGAACCAAGGCCGCTGAGTGCACTTGACACATGACGGCAAGGTCACGCAAGAGGCCACTGCTAAGCCTTGGAAATTCTCCGGCCGCAAACCTTGATAAAAACATGAAGAGTGGTTTTACAAGGGATGTCTCATACTGTATGTAGCTCGTTGCGAAATCAGTTCGCTCCACAATAAATGTAGCCATGATTTTCTCGCCATTCTGCCATTCTGCCCCAGCAATAGTTTACCACCGCCAGACGTGATAGGACTAGCGGCCGTGCACTGACCACCCCACACATTACGCGAAATATCGGTGTTCCGTCTTTTACAGCACCTCCAGCACGACAGCGTCGACAATCTACTAACCAACAGTCAAGGTATGTCGGCACGCTATTGTTGATTTTTTGTAGACTGTATACTGACATTGTGACAGATGGGTGCCCTCAAGTGTAAGCGCACGCCAAACCTAGCAATTCCACGCTCGCAGCTAATCCGCGGTAGATGTCGAAGAACTTCAGAAGAAGAAGCAGTCGGATATGATGCGCTTCTTGATGCGTGTCCGCGTACGTATAGACGACTGAGCTGGACAATGAACTCTGCTAACATCTGACAGTGCTGGGAGGTATGAGCACAATTCCCCGAGACTGCCCGTCTCAAATTGGTGTACTCGTTGAACTTTGCTGAGAGTGCATCGATAGCTTCGCCAACTTAAGGTCATCCACCGCGCCAGCCGCCCCTCGCGCCCCGACAAGGCCCGCCGCCTCGGATACAAGGCCAAGCAGGGCTACGTTATCTACCGCATCCGCGTCCGCCGTGGAGGTCGCAAGAGGCCCGCTCCCAAGTACGTACAATTGGCAGCGATGTGTTGGGCAAAAGTGCATAGCTAACATTTACTTCTAGGGGTGCCACCTACGGTATGCTTCGAGCGTCAGATTTTTCAGGCAGAGCAACAAACTAACAAACCAACAGGCAAGCCCACCAACCAGGGTATCAACCAGCTCAAGTACCAGCGCTCTCTCAAGTCGACTGCTGAGGAGCGTGTCGGCCGCCGCTGCGCTAACCTCCGCGTCCTCAACTCCTACTGGATCAACCAGGACTCGACCTACAAGTACTACGAGGTCATCTGCGTCGACCCCCAGCACAAGGCCATCCGCCGCGACCCTCGCATCAACTGGATCGTCAAGCCCGTCCACAAGCACCGCGAGAGCCGTGGACTCACTGCCACTGGCAAGAAGAGCCGTGGTCTTGGCCGTGGACACAAGTTCAACCACACCACTGCCGGCAGGAGGAAGACCTGGAAGAGGAACAACACCCTCTCTCTCTGGCGCTACCGCTAAATGCGCTGAGCGAGTGGTGTGCTTGGTGGGACGTCTGGTCGATTGTTTCAAGCGTATGGGCTGGCGTGAATGGAATAGGGTGTCCTGGGCTATGTAGCTTCCGCACAGCATCAAGGCTGGCAGGACTTTCAAAAATTAAATACCATGGATTCATGAAGTTTACGACGGACAAACGTAGAACCAGATGCCTTGATTGTGAAGTCACGTGGGTGCTGTAGTCGCCGTGAAGAGAGAAGGATTGCGTCTGACGAAATTTGCTTGACAGATGCAGGTGGTCCTTGGCTGGGCAAGGTCAGAGTGACATGCATGGCTGCTTCTTGGATAGCTGACGGGCCGGTGAGCTAGCTGCAGCAACGACGTCAGACGGGTTGCGATGAGAGCAAAAACGGGGAATGCGGCATGTGTGTTTGTTGCGATTCTGTCTCTGGGGTTTGTATGTATACATAGCTGATGCAGTTGTTTTTGGGGGCCCTTTCAGGATTGCACCAGGGATGCCTGTAGGCTGAAGCAAGCGTTGCCGTGGGCCCCTCGCAGCCAAAACATCTCAGCCCAACCCGCAACGCCTGCAGTACCTCGACGCCAACGCAACAAGCGGCCCAGGCTCCAATCGACGCAGATAATACTCGCGCCTGCTCTGCACCACTGACGACACGTACGGCTGACGAGGTGAATGTGCTAAGATTCCTGCTGCCGCAAAGCTTCACCTGGCTATACACAATGTTCCGACGTTCACGCGCGCGGCCAACCAACATCATCTGAGCAGCACTGCCCGGCACCCATACGAGGCTGTGAACCGCAAAGTCTCTGCAGGCTGCCCAGTAACCGCACCGGCACACACACGCCTACCCAGTGCCCTCAACTCCTCTCCCCCTCCTTCATAAGACAACCGTTGCCGCAGCCATGGTCAAAGCCGATCCCACGCGAAACTACTATGCCGACCTGAAGGTCTCTGCCACCGCTACCGAAAACGAGATACGCAAGGCTTTCCGAACGCTTGCGCTGCAGTACCACCCGGATCGCAATCCTGGGCGTGAGGCCGAATTCGTTGTCAGGTTTCAAGAAATCCAGGCTGCACACGAGATACTATGTGATCCTACCCAACGAGCAAAGTATGACGCAGAGAGGAGGAAATACCGGAATGCCTCTGCCTCCGCAAACACGCCCAACACGCCGAGAACAAGACCACCCCCCGCCCAGCGCAACACGTACACAACGAGTACCCCGAATGGGTCCTACTATCGCGCCCCTCCCCCGAGACCACAGGCACAGCGTCCCCCACCACCCCAACACCAAAACTCATATACCACGGGCGCAGACAGGTTTACAAACAAGAACTTCCGCCCGCCTCCAACCGCGCAAAAGCCAGACCCAAGGCCCAGAGATGCAGAAGCTCGGGCAAATGTATTTACAGCATGGCAGAAGATGAAGCAACCGCGGGGCGAGGACGCTCGACAACAAAGCAATAATGCCCACAGCAGCGCATACCCCAATCCTCCAAATAACCCCAACGGCACTCCCTTTGGCCGAAGTCAAAGCACAAGAGCGCCTTCTTCCAAGCAGGGATTTGACCCTTCGGTGCCTGGTGTCGATGAGGGACAGGCACGATCGTCGTATAGAAACTATGCTCGTCCAGCGCCAACGCCGCCCCACTCTACCACACCTCCCAAAGAAAGCCAGGCTGACAACGTTCCGTACTCGGAAGCTAACCGCGTTCGCACCCCATACTACTCTCATGCTGGGGGAGAGCGAACGTCCATGTTTGAGGGTATAGGTAGGTCAGCTAGTGTGCGCAATTCACCGACCTACACCCACAGGGCGAGCTCGTCACAAGATGCAGGCGCATACTCAGATTCAGGTCGCAAAGCACAAGCAAAAGCAAAAGCTGCAAACGGAACTGCAAACAAGCCATTTGCACACGGCTACTCCGACTCGAGCGACTCAGACTCTGAACCAGAGGTTTTCACAAAGAGCAATAAGCACCATGATGCTCCACCCGTGCCGCAACATTCGAGACCCCCTCCACCAACTTGGGCTCAGAGTGGCTTCATGACACCCGACCCAAAACGACAGAGTAATGGGGCTGCGAACCATATGCCAAACACCTTTAAGAGTAGGAGTGAAGAGAGCATCAATATGAAATTCTCGCCTTCGGACTGGCATGGCAAGTTCGAAGGCAGTAATAGTTACTTCGCTCCTGACATACCAAAAGGTGCCAGCGGAAAAGGCCGAACCTCTCCCACACGTGGCAGAGCTTCACAGCGCAACGTGACAGATCGGAATCCATTCGCTGCTCAGCCCAACCCGTTCGCACCCACCCACCCGATACCCCCTCCCCCTCCTGGGCCACCACCTGGTCTCAACTTTGCTCAGCCTCCAGTAGCTCCTCATGCTGCAAAATTCAGTCCTCAGGACTGGCAAGAGACATTTAAAGATCCGCATTGGGTGTACAATGATGCCAAGGAAACCTCGCCGCGTCGGCCTTCAGAAGCTACAAAGCGGCCAAAGGCGCCGCGAAAGGCGTCTGTGCAGCAAAATGGAACCTCCAAGGCACAGAGCCAGTCAGATGCATCACGACCCAAGTACCAAGCTTTTGCTGAAGAGCCAACAAGTGGTGATGCGGACGCAATGGATATTGACTCTGGGCCACCATCGTCAGACAAAAAGGGCACAACAACCGGGCCTACGGTGCCAAAGCTGAATACAACTTTGCCAGGCACCACACCGAACGGATCTAGCACTGCACCACCTTCTACCACCACAGCCAAGCCGCCTGCTGAGGGACTGAATGGCCTCGGTCCAGATTTCATCAAACCACTTGTTGAGCCACAGAAGAATGGACTTGGCGGAATGGCATCTGTCGGAGACGCACTGCCCTTTTCTTCTGAGGCATCCAACTCTCATCCCATAAAGGCGAATGCAGCAAAGAGTCTCAAGTACCCTGAAATACCCCAGGCGCCTCCTGTCCCAGCCAAGTTAGATTTGGCCTCGATTGACCACTACTTTGAACGCATGGGCTCATATGTAAAGTCGTACCGAAACTACTGCAAAGTGCTCACTGGGCACTTTGCTGCACGGAGCGTGGAGATGGAGGATCTAGACGATCACTTCATTCGCAACCGTGGGGAGACGACCAAGAAGGTTGGCTTTGTGAGCTACCTGGCTAAGATGGAAGAAGACGAAAGCGTCATGGAGACATGGAAGGTTGCACAGGAACGGCATATTGTTGCGCTGCAACAGTGCGCAGATGTGCGCACAAAGGCTTTGAAGTTGTACCAGACCCTTCAGGCCTAAGATCAGCGCGCCTTCGCGTGTTTGGGTTTGCAGGTGTGCTGACGTGCGTCTAGAAATGGAAGGAATGCGCTCCAGAACAGCGTCCGAGCTGTAGCAGAAAGTCTGGAAACGCTGGCTGTTAATGAGACCCATATTACTGCACGAACGGACAGACAGCGTTGGATGTCTGGTTCGATGTTGGGAATGAGGATGCGCAGTCCTACCAGACTTGACAGAGGCATGGCGGGTTTGAATAGCAAGGGCGCCTCAAAATACCAGCCGCTTTTGTCGAGAAAGAAGAAGTATTACGGTTTTGGGTAGCGATGGCGTTTTCTCTTGTCTAGGCATTATGAACACACTCCTGGTTGAAGCTGGGAATGATTGGAATGATGGTTGAATGGCACGCATGAGCAATGTCTAATTAGTATACACATCGAATAGATAGAATACATGACACGTCTACGACTACTATTGATCGAGGGCTGCTTACAAGTGTAACGCAATGACAGTATTTGTGGCTTTGAGTGGTGGGAGGACATGTTTCTTTCTAAGCTAGCGCGGCCAAGATAGGACGTTGCATTTACCTCAAACCGTTGCGTGTCTAAAACACGCACCACTCTTGATCACTGCCACACCCGTGTGTTGTAGCTTGCGAAACCCCAGGCAGCCGGAGTTTGACAACTGGCTTGAGGTGCAGAATGCTGAGAAAGGGAAGAGTTATACGCTTGTGATGGGTGGGGACGAAACATGGTTCCACTCCTTTCCCCTTTCTTAGCAGATGATCAGTTATGTTTCAGCCGACACGGTTCGCTGATCCCCACGACGGTGAAAAAGTCGAGAAATGAGATTCTGGCGTACGTACGATTTCCGCATGAGATTACTGCGTATGGGGAGTTGCAAGGAAGGGTGCCACACTGAGATAAGCCCCGTTGCGGCGGTACTTGGTCAGTACCTTGCGTTACAATACATATGTCGTGGTTACTCGAGCGGGATGCTCGGAACCTGAACGGTTCTTCTTCCTTTTCCTTCTTCTTGTGTTGTTTCGACTTGCCAGGGCCTGAGAGCCCTTTCTTTTCCCAACCGGTGATATTGAGGGCCCTTGGTCTCTACTAGGAGACTTCCCTGGCGGGCCAGTATGGTGGGTGATTTGCTTACAAAGGTCACATCACCCACGCCATCGCCAAGGGAGGTTGGCGGGGCGGCGATACAATGGGTGTGTACGAGGAGGGGGAGGATGGTGGTTATGATGGCTGTGTTGTTCTCGGGTTTTCTAGGGCTGACAGGCATGAAGCACCGTGAGGTATGCCGCTACCTACATCCAACATCTATGAAGCGGACGGTACACTGATAGTCTGGTAGGAATTGCCGTCAAGATACCGTGGCATGTCTTCATATTATCCCTGGAGAGCATATATTCCTACCCTGCCCGAATCCATAAGCTTGTCGTTCAAGACACCCTCGAATTTGACGTTACAGATTGAAAACGGCCAAATCGACCATGTACCGGCAAAACTTAAAAAGACGACGCCCAACTTCCACCTCGTCATGCCGTTTGAGTACGAGTCAAGCGACTTTTGCAAATCGGCGTTATCTGCCATGTTGCTCAACTACCCTCCACCGACTGTGGTACAGTTTAAGTCAGGCCATGCGACGAGCGAAAAGCGTCATGAGGCGATTCTCAACGACACGCTGCATTACCTGAGCAATACGAAGTTGGTCAAGGACAAGGATCTAGTGCTCATCGTTGATGCACAGCAGACGTGGTTCCAGCTTCCAAGCGATGTGATGATTGAGCAGTACAAGCGGTTGCTTGAGGATGGCAATTTACGGTTATTGAAGAGATATGGAACTGACGAGAATGGGTTTCAGAAGTTTAACCAGACGATCTTATTTGGGGCAGAGAAGATGTGCGAGGGCGATGACAAGGCGTGCAAATACGTGCCGTTGTCGCCATCTCCCAACAACTTGTACACCACCGAGACTGGCCGGCTGATATCAGAGACGCCTGCCAAGTTTATCAACGCCAGGATGGCCATGGGTCCGGCGAGCGATTTGAGAAGGTTGTATCAGGCTGCGCAGAAGAAGTTTCTGGACGGCAAGAGTCAGTCACTGACCGTTCAGTCCGTGTTCGCTACGCTGTTTGCAGAACAACAGTTGAGTCGCGATGCCGTCGAGGTGGAAACCAAATCTCCCAGCGCAAAATTCAGAAACTTCTTCGACGGCGGATCCAGGAAACCAGCAGCCCGACACCGACTAAACCAAGCAAAACTCGAACTCGAACTCTCCAACTTCACCAGACAAGAATTATCTATTGGCCTCGACTACACCCACACCCTCTTCCAACCCCTCCTTTACACTACCCCCAACGAACTCATCCCCATCGCCCATAGCGAAAAAGACAACCTAACTACCTACACCCACTTCAACCGCGACCCATCCTACCTCACCCCTCCAGCCTCCCTCAACCATACAACCACGCCCTTCTCGCGCCCAGACCCCGTAAAACCCAGTCTCTCCGCGCATACCCACTCGGCACACATCAAAAACCTCGACTACGACCCCAAAATCGACACCTTACCCGACCGCAACGTCGCCTGGACCGACGTCCCTCTAGTTCAAAATACCTACACGGGCGCCATCCCCGCTGCCTTGGCTGCACAGTTAGCTCGCGAACCCAACCTCGCCCCGTCGAAGATGACCTGGGATTCGCTTTGGTACGCAGACTACCGGCGCGCATTCCTCCGTGTCTACTTCCGCGCACCGCAGTCGGCAGTAGGCTACCATGAGTCTGCCGTTGGGGGGGATCGCATGTGGGATGCGCGCGGGGGACGGGGCGGAGTGTGGACAGCGGTGGACCAGAGCTGGTTTGCTTGGGGCGAGGCGGATGGGGTGTGTGGCACGGTGGAGGATATGAAGGGCGTGTTTGGGGATGATAAGGGGGTATGGTTGCATGAGGGGGGGAGAGAGAGATGGTGATGGTGGGGAAGCGGGGGGAGGATGGGGTCGATAGTGAAGATGAG